TTCTTTATTTACATTCCACAAAGATTCTAAGAAACTTGATGAACCAAGAGTGAGAATCAAATGGCAGAAGCACACTGGCGATGAGAAAACAAATCCTTCCTCCCTTTTTCCTTTGCGTTTGTCTGTTGGGTTATTGATGGAATGTTGCTGCTAGAGAAGCGCGTAGGAGGGAAGCAGATTAATTAAAGTCTGAGACAGCAGTGTTTCACATCCTCCAAGAGAAAGCATTCAATCCGACAACAGAATGCCTTTAATTGCCAACTGTAAAACTTTAATGTGGGCAGGTATTGAACACACTCAACATTTATTTTCACATCTTTGGCTGCAAATGTTTTGTTCAAAGGGGGTCTACTGTAGAAAAAGTCTCTGGAATCATTTGTTAGAACTTACAGCCAACCCAAGGATATACAGTATGAGATCCTAAGCAGAGTTTAATTTCAGATCCACATCCAATGAAGGCTACCCTCTATTTGAACCACTCAATAGTCAATTTTGTAGATATTTTGGGGGACTATAGATTTTTATATACTGTAGAAGTATCTGAGTGAGGTGGGCTATATGAAAATCCACACCACATTTCTTGGATTTTTTTATTTATAATATATTTTCAAAATTGTTTCATTTCCCTTCCAGTTTTCAGTAGTGCAGCTTTGTAGCACCTGCCGTTCGTTCTTCTTGCCTATTTCTTATTCTAAATTACACTGCATGGGTCAAACTTGGTATTGTAAATAAAAACAGCCGCAGAATAAGTGGCTTGAATTTACTCTCTGCTAAACATTTGAATTAAATGTTTTACCGCGTTAGTCACAAGCTAGAAATATTAACAAATGTGCTTAAAATGTTGACTCTATTAACATAAATTGCAAACTACTGAGGTTTTTCTAGATATATGTAGAATTTATTATTTTTTTTTTTCCTAACATGGCTTGTACTAATTGTTTCTCCTGGGGCCCTCAGGTAAGCAGCTTGACCCTAGCTGACCACGTTTATGACTGTTTGGCAGCTTGTTCCTTTGGTGAAAAAAGTAAAATTCAAATTTTAGCCTTTAAGCTATATTATATTGCAAATGGTGACTTTTGGCAAAGGTTGACTTATCTTGCAAACCAATAACTGCTTCATCTGATGTAAATAAAGAGTGATTTTTGAATAAACTCCCATTAGTGTGCCCAGCGTGTGATATTATGCCATCAAATGATGATAAATGATTCAATTTATGTACAATCAGCCACAGCATGGGCCTTCATTTATTGAGTTGACAACTGCTTCAGGATAAAAGTAAAAATCAATTCAGCCTGTGTTTCTAATTGATTGCTCCAAATATGACTGATTCAGATTTAATCCGATGACGTGGGTTATTGGTTACATTCCAGCTGACAAATAGTATGTTTACTCCTGGCTTAATTTGTATATTTGATGCCCTCAGCCAGCATTCTTCATTTGAGAATGAGTTCAGCTTGGGAAAAAGGACTCACATTAGGCTTTTTATGCAAGGTTGATATTTTTATAGCATGGCTGTACAAACATTAATATTTTAAATTAAAGACATATATCTCTTTTTGCACACCGTAATCCCCTATACAAGAAAAGGCATTGCCATGGAAATTCTATTTTTTTAATTGATTGTTTTTTTAATCCATCTTTTAATTTGAATTAGTGTTGCATTTTATTTTTTATTAGTGTAACTGAGGAGATATGAAGTGAAATTGAGGCTTTAAGAAGATTCCCTTCTATATTTCTTTAATGAGTTTTTGTGCTTTTAGTGACGGTGGCAGCTACTTGAAAGCCAGAACTGGCCCTGTGTGAGAGACTTTGATTGGTAATATTATGTATCTTTTGGATACTGGGGAAAAAATAATAGATTATTTAAACTTGATATATATATATTTTTTTATATTGCTTATGCTAAAAATACTATATTAGAAAGTGACAATAAAAGCTGACTTGACTTGACTTGATATTCTTGAATTCTTGATTTCTTTTTAAAATAAGATCAAATCCATCATTAATTTATATTTTGGTTGTTAAGCATAAAGTGGTATGAGATTCCCAATGAATAATCAATAGCCCTCTCCCACAATTCAAGAATTTATACCTACTGCAATTCCAAATCTTAAGCTTTAGTTTGTCTCTCACTCGGGTATCTCAGGGAAACAAATTCAAACCATAAAATGAATAAATAAACAGGAGAATAATATCTCGTGGATTCATAAACCTAACTCTACTTTGATCCTTTTATGTTCCGATAGCCATGGTGAGCCTCTAAGGGGGGCTTCCCTTTCTTGGTGTCTGGCTGTCTCAGAAATTGGTTTGCTGGCAGAGTCAGTGTGTCTGCGGGTGGCATCCTGCCTCTTACCTTGAGCTGCTGCTCCTCTGCTGACTAGCATCCTAGCTCTGTATGGAGCATATGGATTTCCTGGGGAAATACTTTATCTCTGGCTTCCTGAGCTTGCTTAAACTTTCTGGGGCCAGGGGGTCTTGCCCTTTGCAAGAAATAAGAATGTGCTATGCTGTATTCCCCAACTGAAGTACATAGTTGCCCCTCTATGGTGCAGAGGATGGCAGCCCTTCTAAAAATTTCATCAAATTCTCAAACGCACATCTCAAGGTAACAAACTTGTATTCCCATAAGCACAAGCACATCTAAACACATCAAACACATGCAATACACAGACTTATGCACCTACACACCAACACACAATCACTCCAAACATTTAAAGGTCATTCAGAACCATGATACTCTGACATCGTTGTGCTCTGTCTACTTTAAGAGTGGATTGGATGTGGATTTGATCAAGGTTTTCATGCAATTACTATCTTAATATATCCTTTTTGTACAGTTCATAGAAAAAAAGTAAAACAACTCCTTTAATAAAAGGTTCAAATATCTTCATCATGGCCATTGGCCCATGTCTGTTGGCAGTACAGTTACACGTTTTAATACAAGTGGTTGTATTTCTGGAATTTTTTTTGTGAATGTGAAATTGGTTGGTCTGGTTGCGTTTTAATTAATGAATAAGTTGATGGTTCACATTAGCTTTAAGCTGCACTTGGATAGGTTATGGAAGTCACAAAGATGTGAAAATTGAAGCTGCATTCACAAAAAGGACATAAGAAGCTACAGGGAACAAGAGGGAAATGGATCTCATCCTTTCCTTCCTTCCTTCCTTCCTTCCTTCCTTCCTTCCTTCCTTCCTTCCTTCCTTCCTTCCTTCCTTCCTTCCTTCCTTCCTTCCTTCCTTCCTTCCTTCCTTCCTTCCTTCCTTCCTTCCTTCCTTCCTTCCTTCCGCCCAGACGTCCCTCTCCCTGGCCACTTGGACCAAATCCACCGGGGAATCCCAAGGTGTTCCCAGGCCAGCCGAGATACATAATCCTGCCAGTGGGACATGCACAGAACACCTCACCAGGGAGGTCTTACCCAAGCTTCCAGTCTTTAGACCTTAGAACAGCTCGATAGAAAGAATATTCCAACAAGTTCAATGTATACATCTTCCCATATTATGAGTAATCTTCAACTGGAAATGGACCAAGCCTGTACTTGTATGATGCCTTATAAAGTCTAAGAAACCCAAAGAGCTTTACACTACAATCAGCCATCCACCCATTTATACACATATTTACACACTTATGGTGCCATACAATGGGTGCCAATGGGCCTTCTGACCAGCAACAGCAGGCAAAGCAAGTGAAATGCTCAAGAACACAAAAAAAGAGATTGACAGAGTTGAGCTTAAACCGACAACCAACTTGTACTGTAACACAATGACCCTAATCTATCTGTCCTCTCCCTGATGAGACGTATATATAAAAAAATATTGATTTAAAAAAGTCTGGTTTTCTTCCCTGAGCTGCATTCGCACTGAAAAGCAGATGTGGGTTCTAAATTACAGTGATTTGCAATTTTAAAATTGTTATTTGATACTTGAGGAAGCATTCCTAGTTGTCGCATGTTGCGTGTTTGTGGGAGGGGGTTGGATGATGGGGCGTCTGTGCAGCTTTTGTCACTTTAGTAATTAGCCTTGAGAGGATTTTAATTCGAAGCTAATGAGAATTTGTTTTAGCAGTCATGCACTCTGTTGTGTGCGCCTGCCTGGGTATCAATGTGACTGTAGGTTGATCAAGGATTACGATAAAGTGAAAGCGACAGACTGTACAGATGTTCAATAAATGGGCTGGAACAGGCAGGGAGATATCATTCACTCCCACTTTCTACACTCATACTGGGATGAAAGAAGACAAAAATGAAAGAGAAGATAGATGCTCAAAGACATGATTCTTTTTCTTCTGTCAATAGACCAAAACAATTTTCCTGTTAGAAATCAATCCCTTCTCCTTCCTTTGATTGAAGCTAACAATATAATTCAGCAAAGCCAATTACCAGTTTGGAGCATTAATATAAAGTCCGGATTAGTGTGAAACAGATATGGTTGTGCATGTATATGTGAGGCTGAAACTAAGGCAAAAGAACCTTAAAATTAACTGGCTAAATAATAAACTCTGCATTTTAAATTATATGATTATGCTGACAAAAAGTAAACAAAATTAGAAGTATTTTTAATTGACAGATTTAGTTTTTTTTCAAACTCATTTGCTACGCTGAATGCACAATGTGGTCTCATGCATCTTTCCCCTCTTTGGAATAATTTTGTTCCCCCTTGTTGCATACAACATGCATTTGTTTTTGTTTTTTCCTCTCTTAACAGAATTTATTGGCTTTTTTACCACCTCCACCCCCTGCCAAATTTTCACACCAGCTTATGGATTTCTACCACTATACCTATGCCTCTTAAACTTTATTTCCTTGTCTACTTTCTGCTTCTCCTTTCTTGTTATGAGCTTCATTAGATATCTTAACTCTAAAGGCTTTTAGCCTAGTCTAGAGATAAAACAATTCATGCTGCATAAAGACAGAACAGCGGAGGCAGGAAAAAACACAAACTAAAGAGTCAGAGTTGTTGAGCCTAAAGTAAAAAGAGGATTTTGTCTTTCTTTTTCTGCCGAAGGTGGTGTGTGTATTGCCCAGTCTTTAAAGATTCCCAGAGAGCCAAGGCAGGGGGAGTTTGACAAGATCATCAGGCGCCTCCTGGAAACATCCAATGCCAGGGCCATCATCATGTTTGCCAATGAGGATGACATACGGTTAGTGTTGTTCATTTCTGGTTGTACTGCATAATTTCCATCCACTTAATTATAGGGCCTTGCGAAAATACCCGTTGCACAGTTCATCACCTTATAATAACAAACTTCTAGATAGTTTTATGTGACTAAAGAAAATTAGGCCATGATAGGTAATAGAGAGAAAAGAAAGATATGTAAAAGAAATTCATTTTACAATTAAACAGTGTAAGGTGTGAAGTGCATGCTTTTTTGCTCTAACCTGCCCACATATAAGGTGGAAACAACTGGCCTTACTCTTTTCAGCATATGTGACTGTGGGGCTGTGTATTGATCTCTGTATAAATGCAGCTTTTCTATAAAGGCCTCAGAGGTTTCTTGGAGAAACTTAGTGAACACACAGCAACTTAAGATTATTAATCAGACTAGACAGGTGAAGGATACAGGTCAGAGGAGGTAAAGCCAGGGGTAGATTATGAAATTAATAATATTCCAAATTTTAAACATCTCTGATCAGTTTATCATATGAATAAATAAAGAATACTTGACCCACTCTGATCAGAAATTAAAGAATAAGCCATAAAGTCCATTGTTTTTCTGGGGGAAGCAGCAGAAATCCACACCTCAAATGAGGGTATCGGTTATCAGAGAAATTAATAGGGGCTCATTTTGCAAGTCTTTCCATTTTGGGAAAAGTGGCCAATTAGAAATTGGTAATATTAAAATATTTTGGCAGTTTGCCACAAGCAATGTAACTGGTAAATGGAGCCCATCCATCCATCCATTTTCTATCACGATATACGCTGCTGGGGTTGCAAGGGGTGCTGGTGCCTATCTCCAGCTCTCTACGGGCGAGAGGCGGGGTACACCTCCATCGTAGGGCAACACAGAGATAAACAGGACAAACAAACATTCAGGCATACACTCACCACACAAGGAAAATTTAGAGTAACCAATTAACTTTGGACTGTGGGAGGAAGCCAGATTACCCTGAAAGAACCCACGCATGCTCAGGGAGAACATGAAAGACCCTGGGCTGGAAATTGAACCCGGGACCTTCTTGCTGCAAGGCCGCAGTGCTACCCACTGCGCCACTGATCTCTGGTCAGATTGGATCGACAATTTTGTTTCTGTACTCAAAGTAAAACTAGCACGCCATCATCTCTGAAACACATAGTTATGGCAACATTATAAAATGTGGATTCCTTTCTTCTGAAAACTCTATGCTGCCATGTATTAAAATACAAATTTGAAGCTCCAGACCTGAGGTTGAATAACATTCTTTAGCACAAAAGCTATCCATCAGTCTCGCTGGGTTTAGGCTTTATTCCCAAAAGGCAACAATTTAAGTGTCTGAATTTGCAAAGTTGAAACACACTCCCAAATAACTTGAAGCTGTAACGGCAGAAAAACGGTTCTATAAAGGGCTGAGCTGAATACACAGTCACAAAAACACTTCTCAGATTTAATTTGTACATGAAAAGTAAAATAAAGTTTATAGCTTTAACATGGCATTATATGAAAAGTTTAAGTTTATATCTTTTATATAAAGTAGTTACTTAGACTTGGTCCTGTATGGCAATAAACAGAGTTTAACAGTGTTGTGTCATTAGCATGGAGGTTCAATAAGTTAAACATGCCTTTTTACGGAAAATAATGAACAAAAACTTACTAAATTGGGGTAAGGTGTTTTTTTGAGTTTCTAACCTTGCTTTATTAACCCTGTCGCATACCTTAAAAAGGGAGACATTCGTTTTCCTTCTCATGACACAGTCAATTGTTATTTCTGGAGTGCCTATCAGAGTTTTAATTCTCAGCTTCTCTTTTTAACAGGCGAGTTCTCGATGCAGCTAAAAGAAACAACCAAACTGGCCATTTCCTTTGGGTTGGATCAGACAGCTGGGGGTCCAAGATCTCTCCTGTGATTGGCCAAGAGAGAGTGGCAGAAGGAGCAATCACTATTCTCCCAAAACGTGCATCTGTGGATGGTAAGATTGATGAAAAAAAAAAAAAAGATTTAGAATGTTTTTATGATTGCCAATAATTTTTACAGTGGGAAAGGAAAGTATTTAGACCCCTTTAAAATGTTCACTCTTTGTTTCATTGCAGCCAATTGCTAAAATCAATAAAGTTCATTTTATCTCTCATTAATGCACACTCAACACCCCATCCTGACAGAAAAAAATTATTAAAAAAGAAAAACTGGGATATCAGATTCTCATAATTTAGGCCATTTGCTCAGTATTGAGTGGAAGCACCCTTTTGAGCTAGTACAGCCACTATTCTACTTGGAAATGATGCAACAAGGTTTTCACACCTGGATTTTTTGATCCGCTGCCATTCTTCCTTGCAGATCCTCTCCAGTTCTGTCACGTTGGCTAGTGAGCGTTGGTGGACAGCCATTTTCAGGTCTCTGAAAGTTGTTCCAAAGCCACTCCTTTGTTATTTTAGCTGGTTGCTTACGGTCATTGTCTTGTTGTAAGGTGACCCTTCAGCCCAGTCTGAGGTCCTGACAACTTTGGAAGAGGTTTTCTTCCAGAATATTTATGTACTTGGCCGCATTCATCTTTCTTTCAAATGCAACCAGTTGTCCTGTCCCTGCAGCAGAAAAACAACCCCACAGCATAATGCTACCAACACCGTGTTTCACTGTTGGGTTTGTATTGGACAGGTGATGAGCAGTGCCTGGTTTTCTCCGCACATACCACAGAATTAACGCCATAAAGTTTAATCTTGGTCATTTCAGACCAGAGAATCGTCTTTCTCATATCTGGGAGTCCTTCACGTGTTTTTCGGCAAACTCTATGCAGGCTTTAATATGTCTTGCACTGAGGAGACGCTTCCGTCATGCCACTCTGCCATATAGCTCATACTGGCGAAGGGCTTCAGTGATAGTTGACTTTGTGGAACCTTCTCCCATCTCGCTACTGCATCTCTGGAGGCCACCTTGCTTTTAGGAACCATGAATGCTGCAGAAATTCTTTTGTAACCTTGGCCAGATCTGTGCCTTGCCACAATTCTGTCTCTGAGCTCCTTGGGCAGTTACCTCAACCTCATGACCTCGACTACTGTGAGGTCTTATATAGACCGGTGTGTGCCTTTCCTACTCAATTCCAATCAGTTTAATTAAACACAGCTGGATTCCAATGAAGGAGTAGAACCATCTCAAGGGGGATCAGAAGAAATGGACAGCATTTGAGTTAAATATGAGTGTCACAGCAAAGGGTCTGAATACTTATCACCATTTGATATTTTGTTTTTTCTTTTTGACAAATAAAATAATTTTGATTTTAGCAAATTGCTGCAATGAAACAAAGAGTCACTGTTAATCACCCTGACATTTAAAACTTTAAATAATCATAAAAAAATAGATATATGCGCAGCATTCAAAAAAGTACATGGTGGAAAGCTTTTAATATTCACTATTTGCTTTAGGTGGTAAATGTCTTTTTTCTGCTTTATTTTGGTCTTTTTTTTTTTTTTTTTTTTTACACTTTTTTGCATTAATATTGTCCAACATTCTACTTTAGGTTTAAGAAATTGCTTAAGAACTTTTGTTTTTAAAGGTTATTTCACTTGCTTGAGTTTAACTTTATTTATTTATAAAATGTTACTGAAAAGAGTTGGTTTTAGTTTGATCCAAAGAGCCATTTCTGGATGTTATCTAATAGAAGCAATTGAGTTTCAAACTTTATTCAGTCTGTACTTTATTATGACAACCTCTGCCTGCACCTGCTGTATTTTATTCTTATAGTTTTTAACAGTATTGCCTGAAAGTTTTTAACTGGTAGTTAAAAACATCAAAAATATTTTTTAATTAGTATTTGTGTTTCTTGTTTTAATGTAGCAACACATTTGGAATAAAGGCTGGATCTGAATGTTTCCTTTAACTGTGGCTGCTCAACATCAAACTAGAGCTTGGCTCCACAGCAATAACATCAGTTTGCATGTGGACAGTCTATAGTGCATAAAAAAAAAAAAAATACTGCATTTTGGCCCCAATTCAGCCATGCACATTGGGTCCTGCTACTATATCACCTGCTATAGAGGGGAAAAAAGGAAAAATGAGGATAAGAAAGAGGTCAGTACTTACAGCACTTTACCTCAAATAGGTAGAGTTAAACTCTGCATCAACAAATGACACATATGCAGGTTATTTGAAGTTGATAGAAAACACAAGCTTTAGAGTTCCCATAAAAAAAAATGCATTTGCCTTTTTTTATCGAAGAGATTCACTGATATTGAATATTATGTGGAGAACAAGGAGGACAACAACAAGCAGAACAGAGATTATGCACCCTTATTGAGGGCAGCTCAATTGTATCAGTAGAACTTGGATACAGTATGTAGGAGCTTCTTAATATACTTGTATAGGTATACACTGGTGCTGCACAATTTCCATCTTACTATTCTTCTCTGTAGAATGAACATTATAAATAATCACCCGGACTACAGTAAATGTTTGCCAACTATATGGTACTGGGTGCTTATGTTTTCCAATTCCAGTTCGTTAAGACACCATAAATAATTGTTTTATTGTGAAAGCAGCAGCTGTACCAAGATTAAACATTTTCCAAAAAGCCCCATAGTTGGAAAAAGTAGCAATGATTTACATTTTAATCTCAAGTAGCTGGAAATAACACTTATTTTCTGGGGTCTATGTTTGCAGCGAACACAAAGCCGAAAGGATCTAACCGATTTTTGATTATTAAGGACTTATTGCAAGCCGTATCATTATTGTAACATTAACAATATGATTGGGTGTTGCATGGTTTCTTAATATTGCAAAGCCCTAATGTATAGAACGAAGCAGTATATAATGGCCTGGTGCATGCTTTTTATGCTGTGAATAAGCTGGTTACCATAACGATACTGATACACTCTTGCATACTTATAGGTAAATCGTACAAAGTGAAGATATCACACCCTGGATGGTAACGTTATAACATGGATGCTATGAAATCCACAAGGATGAGGCAGATTTTAGGTTTTGAAGATCAGGGGACCTTAAATTGGTGTGAGAATGGTCAATAGCAAATGCTATGTAGCTCACATTTGAAAGGGGCACTACAACAATACAGCCACCTGAACTAATTTGATTCAGTTTTTAACAGGGTGTTTTATTTCTTCTTCAGTGAGTTTTCTCTCCACGCTCTCACTAAAGATTTTCAATTGAAAAAAGACTAATAGAAAAATAAAAAGGAACAAGTTTTATCAAAACAGATCTATTCTTTATTAAAGACAAAACCCCCCATATGGCAGCAAACCACAGTGTGGGGATTTTTTTTCCCTATAACACAGAAAAAGAGATGCTTAGGTTACTGTTTTTGTACACATCTGCTATCACAGTAGGAGGTGGGTGATCCCACATGTCATGTGCCTCCCGTCGAGTAGCATGTGGGGTAAACTCACTGTTCCCAGCAGTCCATCTATCAGTAAGGTTGCACAGGTACACAAAAAATCTACATCTGTGGCAGTAGACGAGATCAATCAAGGTAGCGCCTCAGCTTGTGCACTGAGTCACTCCCAGCAGTGTCTGAGTCAATCAGTTCCATATTCTGCATTGGATGGTGCAACATGAGCTGTGTTGCAGTTTCACTTCAGAGCATGGTGTCTTTTCATTTTAAGTCTACTTTAATAAAAATCCTTTTTTTAAAGTCCTCTAATCATCCTACCCTGCCATCAACAAGCAGGTTTTTCCATTCATTTGAGTTAAGAAAACTTTTATTCTTTGCCTTCATCTGGATTTTTCTTCAAGCTGGACAAGTAGGTAAACTTTTTTGAAAGCTTCATTAAAGAAGCATATTCTTCTTGCTCCCCTCCAAGAGATGCCTATTGCAGAAATGGTATTTTGATTTCCACAGAGCAGGGGTTATTCATTTTTCATTTCCTTTGTGTCAAAATGTGTTATACTGCTAAGAATACCCATTATTATCAATGCTGGTGAGCTCAGCATAAGCTCTGAATTCTGACACACCAGAAGCCCGTCGAATTCTGATTCTAAGCCTCTGCTTTTCATCAGTGATGATGATTCTGTCTCTGTTCCTTAAACTTCTGTGGTCTGTTTTCTCTTGCAGCATTTGACCGGTATTTCCGCAGCCGCTCCCTGTCTAACAACAGAAGAAATGTCTGGTTTGCTGAATTCTGGGAGGAGAACTTCAACTGTAGGCTTGGGATGCACGGCAAACGGCCCGGTGTGCTAAAAAAATGCACAGGTAAGACCTAGTACTCGAGTTCTGCTACCTACCTACTGCTTTTAAGGGTCAACTCCACAGGTAGGTCTTAGAAAATGTTCTGGTTCATTGCAATTCAGTTCCTCAGGTGATAGAATATTTATCTTCTGAAAATAATCACAATTTTGAAAATCTGGGTTTTAATATAGCTTAATTTTTCTTAATAATTAAACTTTCTCATTGAACTTTATTAATCTCACACTGGAGAAATTCACCTCTACATTTGACCCATCCCCTTTGAGCAGTGTGGGATTAAGGGTCTTGCTCAGGGACCCAGAGTGGCAGTCTGCAGGAATGGGGCTTGAACTCAGAACCTCTGGGAGCCAAGCCCAATGCCCTTACAACTAGGCCGCCATTCCCGAACAAAAAAAAAAAAGCTCAGTACTCATGTTCTTAAAGGATTCATTGTCTACTAAGCACCCACAATCATCCAGGCTTCGCAGATTTAAGACGGGCTGCTTTTGGGTCTATCTCTCAATATCTTTAGTTTTTCCCCTGATCATAAAAGGTCCTCGCTATAGTCTCTTACACCCTAAGGGTGTATAAATAAATTTCTGCCTGACAAAAACACACAAAAGTAAATCACTTATAGCCTCACAGCGATTAGATTTAAGAAGAAACTTTTGGTACCTCTGTAAAGGTAAGATGTCATGAATGGTTTTCTGGTGTCAGCACCATTGTAGCTTTGACCCTGCCTGAAATATTAGGGACAAAATACAAAATATTTTGCATTTTTTTAATCTCGCCAAAATTTTCTTTGAAATAAACATTGCCAGACACTACCAAAATATTATTTATAGCACAAAAAAGTAGTACAGACTTTTAAATCTAAATGTTGTGTAAAAATATACCAAATTTGGACTCAATCAGATTAATCATATTTATTTTAGAATGGTATTAGTGAGAAATTTCTTAGGCGGAGAGGCCATTTTGGCATATTTATCCAAAAATGTCACCAAACTGTGCCAAATGTGTTTTTTACATCAATACTGGGGGTTTGTTAAAATTACGAGGTCATGTAGCAGCTGGACCCGCCGGTGGGTCCGTAGGGTTCTAGGGGTTAACAGCTGACTGCATAGATGATAGGCTTTCCTCTAAGTTTAAATAGATTACAACATCTATTGAAAACAAATGAATAAATGTTTGAAGCCAAAATAACTTTTTGATGTAATCCTTGTAGGTGACAATAATGCACTCCTTGTTGTGCATATGTTTGTACAGTACATGTATTTCATTATCCGTACTAAAATCTCCTGCTGTTATATATTTGCACTGTTTTTGTGAAATGTGCTTTAAGCTTTTAAGCCTTTGTGCTTTGTTAAAATCTTTTGGCTTTTTATTTAACTGGAAAGGTGCTTACTGAAATTGGTCTTGAACCCTGGCTGTTTTTATGCATGTCCTCTAATTTCTCTTAACCAGTGACTTACTGAAAGACAGAACTGGGTTTAGAGGTGATTCCATGATGCACTGGAACATGACCAGTTGGTGTGACCTCTTCAGTTTAGATTCTGCTTGATCAGGTCTGTAGGTTCTTTCGAGTATCACGGTGAATAAGCACTGACTGATTACCGCCATCAGTTCATATAATTAGGTTTGTAAGGTCTACAGCTTCCATTGAGCTCCATTTACATTACCTGGTATCTTCACACATGGGCTCACATGTGTCCTTGGTCCTTTAATCGTATGTTAGAGTCCATTAATTCTAAGTGCACTGGCTTTCAACTTCCACATGATCAGCAAATCAACCAATTGGCAGCAAGCTGCTCAAGGTCATTAATTTGACATAGATGATGTAAACATGTTGAAAAGGGAAAAAAAAAAATCAAAATTTTTCTATGCCGTAAGATGAGGCAAAATGAGAAATGCTTTCATTGTCAAGATAATAAAATACGATGGGGAATTTTTATCACATTACGGTGACAAGACGTCTTCTTTTTCCCGGGCATGTCCTACTTTTCCCACCTAAAAAAATGTCCGGGGGGGAATTTCAAAAGTGTCGGCTACATTGCAGCAGAACCAAGCCGTCAGCTCAGGAGCTGGTCCGGGAACTCCGGCGGACCTGGGGGGGCAGCCAGCCTGGGAAGCATATTGTCACCGGGTCGGGTTCGGTTGCTCCATCCCCGGCTCAGCGGCACAGCAGCCGCTTGTCTTATTGCAGGGACCAGCATACTGACGCTGTTGGCAGATAATTTTACTCACCTGCTCAAATAAAGGCCACATACACTTTTTACAAGATATTCTTTTGTAATGAAATATATATTTAATCTAAACAGTTTTTTTTCTACAGACTAAGTAAGTCGTAATGACCTCCTTCATTGAAGAAACTCATCAATATATATATATCTATATTTCTATATATATTGTCATGGGAATAAAATGTACAACTGTTTTTTAATGTGTTAGAGTAGGGACAGTGTCAATTTTTGTTTTATCTGACAATGGGACATTGTCCCAGAAGGTTTGTGGCTTGTCAGCATGTAGTCAGAGGGCCCGGTGGCGCCAGTGTACGGCAGCCTCGCTTCTGTCAGTGAGCCCCAGGGCAGCTGTGGCTACAATGTAGCTTGCCACCATCAGTGTGTGAGTGTGTGTGTGAATGGGTGAATGAATGTAGTGTAAAGCGCTTTGGTCAAGTCTCCTAACTTGAATAAAGGCGCTATATAAGTACATGCCATTTACCATTTAGTCTGGATAATGGCTTTTCTATGATTTGTCTTTGACAATTTTGCCCTCCTTGGTCATCAACCATTAAATCCACTTTGGCTCCAACAATGACGGATACTGATCTGACACTGATGTTCCTCGAAGTTCAACTGGAATCGTGCTGAAAGTTTTTCTGGCATCTTTTGTTATCATTTATATTATATGTCTGCTTGATTTGTCATTAATTTTCCTTCCGCGGCGACGTCCAGGGAGGTAGGCTACAATTCCATGGATATTAATTTAAATATCTGAATGATATGGGCAACTGTAATCACAAGAACATCGAACTGATTGGTGAATATCTTACAGCCTTTACCTTTAACATGCTGGGCTATAATTTTCTTTCTAATCTTGTGAAAAGACTCTTTCCTTCGCTTCCTCTGGTCCATGTTTTGTGTGGTAAACACCATGTCACCAAGAAGCACAGTGACCTGTAGTCCTATATATTGGCCCACTGACTGATTATGAGATTTTAGACTCCTGTGATGCTAATTAGTGAACACATCTTGATTTAGCATTTGATTTTTGTTATTATCCTCAATTGCTGCTTGAATACAGATCAAACAAACACCTGCTAAATCTGTTAAAGAAGGCGTTACCACATTAAACTACTTAAAAAGACGTGAGTTAACAACACCCGATTTTTGGTTTCTGTTTCTTATGTTGCTTCAGCTGCAACAGTCACAACTGACATAGCCTCTGCTTCAATTAATTAGATTTAATGAGTCTTCAGAGTGCTTTAACACACATTTCAGCTACAGTATCATCACTTCAGTGTCTTTCAGTCAGGGAATAACATGCACACAAGCAAAAAATAAAAAGAGGAAATCCTAGGCACTCAGACATCGAGACACCGCTTATAAGCACATCAGCTCGGACCACTCAGACGCCCGGGCAAAAGCTGTGATACTGAAAGCATGCAGTCAGGTAGAATAAAAAAAAAAAAAATATGCCAGAGGGGCTGCCTATAGCAGATCAGAGATGAGCCCACATACTAAGACACACTTGTATCCCAAGTGTCTGCAGATGAGAAAAAAACCCTGAATGAGAATGCAAGCTACAGTATGTGTTGTTTACCTCTGCCATTATCCTTATTTCTACAGGATTCAAGTGTGTGTGGGTGTGTTTTTAAAGTTTTTTTGCACGTACAAATACTTTTTGCATGCTTCTGGTGAGCGAGAAGCTGGATTTCTGTGGAAATCCTTCTAAAGTAATTGGAGCAAGATAGACGAAAAATCTAAAAATGTTTAAATCTGACTCTTTTCTCTTCAAATTTGAGGATTTTATTTTCTACATTGAAGCCATCTTCTTGCACATTTTTACATTCCAATATTGCCCCTACCCTTTTCTATCTGAAGCTTCTTAATCATTCACACTGGACTTTCCGCTCTTTACAAAGTCTCCCTGCAGTGTGACTTTGACTGACCTTTTTTAAAAATTAACACCTTTTGTGTTTGCCTGAATTCACGAGTAGAAATACATGTAAACATGCATACTAACAGGACGAAAGTCAAGAATTAAGATACATTAACACAATGGCTTTGTGCATGACTTTTCTTTTTACCTGAGGGTTCAGTGCACCACTGAGCAACACCCACTGTGTCAGGAAATGTAAGCCTCTGGTAAACACAAACGAAACAAAGTGCACTGTGAAGAGGAAACAAGACTGGTACATTACTGGCAGTTGTCTCTTTATCTGTGTAGGTTGCGACGTGTCTCTCTCAGGGGAGTGAGTGATGTCTACATTTGGTCTTTCTCTCGATCCGTTTTATTCTCTGATGTGCAAATCTGTTTCTGCTTTGATAGAATAGACATAACTTGGACTGCAAAGGTTTTTGGTTTCATGTTAAAGCTAAACTGTGAATTTACAGTACAGAAATATTTTACTTTAATAGCTTAATGAACTGTTTAAATGTATTTTCCATTATAGAAATAAATGACAACTGTTAAACTTTTTTTATAAGAGCTTCAATTGCTCTGAGAATCACTCAAACAAATCAGGTTTGTTGGCATTTATGTATTCCACGTGTTATTTTTGCAAATAGAACAGACTTTTAGATGAGGGCTTAAAGATTACATTAAGCAGTAATGATGGCTAACTCTTCAAGACTGCTGTTTACGGAGCTTTCCGCAAAGCCATTTGCAAAGCTATTTGTAATAATGTATATTTCATGAAGCGGTAGTTCGCAGTAGCTGGCCTCACTTATTATGAATCAGGCTGGTCTTGCATGCAAGGTTTGAGAGGTCCAATAAATGCCTGAGACAAAGTGAAAAGGCATGAG